ATGATAAACTTTTATATATTACACGCCTCCCTCAGATCCTTGACTAGACCTCATATCGCAACCACTCATCCTACTTCCACATTAACCCCTTCACAAGTAGACGACGAACGTCCAGTAGGCGACGTTGAAGACCAGGAAGGCGAGGGGGAAGTACACGCGGCTCCGCCGGTCGATCCAGTCCGCCACCTCGGAGGCGGACATGCGCGTGAAGGCGGGCGTGAGCGCGACGGAGATGCGGCGGCCGTAGCCGCTGCTGCTGAAGCCCTGCACGCGGCGCGCCAGCCCGCTCGCCAGGCTGGCGCTCAGGCTCTGGCGCCGCGTGCCCGCCACCTGCGGCTGCAGCCGCGGCCGCTTGTCGTGCTCCTCGGCCGCCAGGGTGGCCGCGCGGTCGAACGTCACCCCGCCCCCGCGGCCCGCCGGCCGCCCGCCCTCGGACACGGTGTCGGCGGCCTCGTCGTCGTCTTCGTCCACGGACAGCGTCTCGGCCGACTCGCACACGGACGCCAGCGGGGAGGGACGTAGCGCGCCCTGCAGGGGAAGGCACCAAGTGCGCGACTTTGTGTTGAGGACTTCACTCTGATGAAGAAGAGCAGGAGGATCGGCCGGAAAATAACAAAACGGCGTTATGTTCCTGGCCGATCCCCTGTTCTTCTCCTTTAGGGTGATGTCCTCCATAGAAAGTTACGCAACTTATTCCAAAACACAAAAATAAGCACATGGCAACGCGGTGGGTATTTAAACCTCCGACACCTAGTCCGCGTCCACAACGAAATCGAAGAAGCCCTAGGGAACATTTAAACTCAAGATTCGGTCGGTGAATTAACGGCTTGGTGCCTGTGAGACTCAGGGTATGCTACCCCGCAGTACACGCATACACCGCGGGCAAGATGTTGCCTACCCGCCGGGCGATACGAGAGCTCGCAGAGAATGAACGAGTTCGTAACTGCGAACGACGGAGCGGAGTTACTTTTTGGTTGACTCCGCTCTCCTTCCATCCCATACGCGGCTGGTCTTCAAAACGCACAATCGACTGGAGCGACTCGTTCTATGATCTATGAATCTAACTCGTCCATCTTTGGACATAAGGTGGCGTGGTAGCCGCATCGGCAGCGAGTCGGCCCCGAGTTTCGCGGGACGAGGTTTTGAACCTGCGCTGTTGGTTACATTTTTCTCAAGCTGCCGTTCTTTTGAACGTTCTCTGAATCCTCACTCTCCGCATTTCGGACTCACCGAGTGTATGGTGTTGTAGTACGAGTGGTGCGCCTGCTCGAGTCCCAGGGCGCTGACGAGCCCGCCGCCCTGGCCCGCCTCGTGCGGCTTGAAGAGGTCGGGCAGCGAGGAGGTGCGGCGGCGCGCGTAGCGCTCCTGGGGCAGCAGGCGGCGCCGCGGCGGCTTGGGCGTCCCCAGAGTGGAGCGCAGGATGTGCTTCGTGCTCACCTTCTTGAGGTCCACGCTCTGCCTGCGGATAGTGCCGCGTGCGCGTTGCAGTAGTGACAAGGCCCTAGTCTCCTCTGATTTGTGACCCCTCCCCTTGCAAAGAATTTGCCACACTTACCCGTGGCGCCAAATGGTGTTGACAAAGGCGAACTCGACGAGAGAGCCGAAGATGAAGGTGCAGCAGCCCACGAACCAAATCTCGCTCGCCTTGTTGTACGAGACGGGCAGAGAGCGGTCCGTCTGCACCGCCAGGGTGATGAACGTCAGCATCGTGCTCGAGCCTGAAAGAGGAACGAGACGTGAACGTGCGTCCATCATGCCACACCGTCTTTAATTTTCGAGCAGAACCGCACCGAGCAGGACACGGGCGGGAACCACGTCGGGGTCGATCCAGAAGGTGACCCAGGAGATGACGACGAGCAGCACGCTAGGAAGGTAGTAGTCCATGAGGAAGAAGCCGTACTCGCGGGAGAGTGAGAAGGTGAGCTTGAGGCTCGAATACTTATTGCCTGGACATAGAAAGACGCACTCTGTAGTCATGCTTCCGCACCCCCCTCCCCCCACCCCCTGTTAGCTTCCAGCGCGCTCCGCTCCTCACTGAAGTGCTCCGGGTACTCCTCCACGGGGTCACTGATGTTGATCCTCGCGCGCAGCCTCTCATCCGTGGTCCAGCCCATCAGCGAGAACGAGTCCAGGATCAGGCGGTCGCCGTACGTGCCGGCCCAGTGCAGCCTCAGGTCCTCCGCGTCGTCCAACCCTGCGGACGGACATAGTGTGGGAGGTAAGAGCGGCCCTCGCGGTGGGTGCGGAGATAGGGAGACCGGTACGTACAGCTCTCGAGCAGAAGCGGGCACTCCTGCTGGTCGAAGGGGAAGCGACCGACCTTCATGGTGCAGACAACGCTGACGGTGAATCTGGGTAGTTTGAAAAGCGACATGTCATTGCTCGATCAGGATTATGTTATGTCCTAGGACAAGTGCAGTGCACCCAGTAGTTTGATAACACTAGACTAGAAGCATCACGTCGTTTCCCTATATGAAAAGGTATCCTTTCAATATTATCGCTAACGAATTGTGAACGGTGGCAGAGAAAGCACGAATAGTTTCGACGGCTTTGTTTTGCTCGTGTTTCATGGCGCCTGCAACGCGCAGGGTAGGCCGACCCGCCATGCAGCTGCGTGGAGCGGGCGGCCCGCCGCCCTCTTACGGTCGCCCCAGTGTTAGTGTTGTGACGCACCCCTCTCTCTGTTTGTGGCCACACCGACACGGCCACCACGGGCAACGTACTCCGCGGGTCCGCGCCCAGCAGTGAGGTGTCATTGGGCACGTAAGTAGGTCCTCGTCGGGTCCTCACCTGATGGCAAAGGTGACGTATCCGTCGGGACGCACCCGCACGAGCGAGTCGTGCTCGGGGCCGGCGCCCAGCAGCGAGGACCTCTGCTCGTTGGCCAGGAACACGTGCGGCGTCCACAGCAGACGGATGAGGTCCGCGTCGCCGGACAGCTCCCAGGTGCCCGGGGACAGCTCGGCGTAGCGCAGGCGGGGGTCGAGGAAGCCGAGCTCCTGCCTCATGGTCAGCTTGAGCTCCTGTGAGGGGACACAAGGGGTCCGGAGAGGTCGTCAGTCGCTGGGGTGAGGCGGGCCACCCCAAGCTCTCCGCGTACGCGTACGCACCAGGTGCAGGCGTCCCTCGCTGCTCTGCGCCAGGTAGATGTAGGTGCGCGCGCTCACGTTGAGGGGCGCCACGCCCTCCAGCGGCCGGACGTGCTTGTTGTAGTGCTCGGGGTCCGTGAGCCGCCGCACCAGCTCCCCCCTGGACATGGGCTGCCCGGCCGGCTCCTCCGCGAGGGGGCCGGGGCGGGACCACAGGTTGTGACGCGGGCTTCTGCCGGGATGCGGGGAGAAGGAGTATTCGAGTTAGTTTCCTCGATTCTTTCTGTGTCCCCGCCATCGCATTTGTGAGGCCCGAAGTGTGTGTGCTGCTGTGCTGCAGCAGTCAGCCGGCCGCAAGTGCCCTAGCTAAGACAGGGACGCGACGGCACCGCGGCCGCGAGGAGGGGCAAGGCACGACAGAGTCATGAATCACTGCACATTATGTGCACGGCCTCGGCCCGAGCGTCGTGGCGCCGCGGCTCTAGGGCCAGGTGCACTGCCAGGCCACCGCTAGAGCGCCCTGAATGGACACCGCTGCTGTACCATAATCATTGCAAAGACGCATCTTATCCGGCGTAAAGACGATCAGGAAATCACATGCCAGAAAACCCTAAGCTTCTTACTGTTTTTCGGAGATTGACCGCTCCCCGATTTTTTACTCTGGAAACTCAAGTGTCGTACTGCAGTTTAAACTGAAGTGCCAATGGTACTCCAGTTTTATGTGTGAACCATTTGTGTACTGCAGTCTAGACTGCAGTTATAAGTGTAGGACGCTAACTGCACTTCACAAATTGTATCATACGTAAAACTGCAGTACGAATGGTACTGAGGTTTAAACTTAAACTATGGCAATGCACGACACTTGAGTTTGCCAGAGAATGTACAGACGATTTCCGACAACCACTGAGATGGTTATTGATGTTCTAGAATGTGTTTTTCTGATCCTCTTCGTACTAATGCAAGGCCTCATTAGTGCAGCTAGCGCACTACAGAGTGGCGGCGGGAGGCTGCACGTCTGCGACATCAAGTCGCCGGTGCAAACAAAGCGGCTATCATACAGACGCGTTTTATCAGTGGGCTTCTCGGTAAAGTTTGCCCCGCGCCTCGCGCGGCTTCCCGCGACGAGGCGACTGGGGCCGCCTGGGGTCGTCGGCGACCCCCGGCACGCCTCCCCCGTCTTCCACCACGACCAGGACCAGGATGCCGAGGTGGGGCCGGCCAGAGCGCGCCGTGCGGCTCATCACGTGAAGCTGCGCTCGTAGCGTGAGCCAGCATTCTATTAGCCCCACCTGCCTCTCCGAACAGATAACACTCACCCGACGCCTTCCTGGGCGACGGCCCCGACAAGGAAGCCGACGAGCAGCAGCACGGCCCACCGTCGCTCCATGGCGCGGCCGGGAGTGCGTCGTCGAGTTGAGCTCGCGGCCTCCGGGGCGTCCCTCCTTCCCGTTGGCGGTGCTCCACGGCCGTCGGCAGCTCAGCGGCGACTGGTCCCCGTCGGGCCCCGTCTAGGGCGGCCCGCTCGCGGCGGCTCGGCCGCTGCGGCGCCTCGCGGTGCAGCGCGGCGCTTGTTTGCGTGTGCGCCGCGCGGTGCGGTGCGCCGGCGAGCGGCACCCCAAGTGAAGGTTGAGGACGCGCCCGCCCGGCGACGGAGAGGCTCTTGTTGTATCCAGTTAAGAGAAAAACGCACTTCGGGAGCGCCGCGTTCCGGTCCGGATCGCTCGGCGCCCAGCTATTGGTAGGGAACCACGGGCGCGAGGCACTAGGCGCCCCTGACGCCGTGACTCGGCTTTGAGAAGCGCGACTGGGGCCCGGAAGCGCAGCAACGGATGCGGGAGGGGAGAACGTGCGCGGCGCAACCCTCAATCGGCTGCTGATTATCGCAACGTGCCCTCCCCCTATCCCCTGTTGTAAGAATTGCCCCTCCCTCCCGTTTTTCACCGAAATTCTCCATATTTTTCGTGACTAAGAAATCGGTCGATTTGGAATAAGGGACCTGCAAGGGACCGGCGAATGGAAATGTAGGCACTGAAAAACGCATGACTAAGCACAGTCTTATGTCTAATTATTATTATCTCGAGTGTAGGCTATTACAAATCACAGGGTATTAATCAGGCCGTTTGGGAAAAGAAACCGGCGAATGGAAATAGGCACTGAAACGCATGAATAAAGAGTGTTCTAAGTCTAATTGCTATCTCTAGTGTCTTACTAATCACAGGGTATTAAGCATAAAATTGAGGAAAGAAAACCAAGATTTTAAGGCCTCCTGAAAGAGGCGAAGGTTGATGGGGCCCATCTCACGGCTGGTGATTTGATTCGGCCTGGCGGCGCGCTGCATCACCTGGTCAGGGCACATCAACCCCAGCGTCATGTCGGCGGATGCAGCGCATCAACTCTGAAAATAAGTCACGTCAACTGAACCTGACCTGCAACCTCAAAACACGGCAGTTGTGATCGCCCTCCAGCCAGGACCCGTTGTACGCGGCCTCCGCGAGCGCGGCGCTTTTTGTCCCCTGTAAGAGCGAAGAGAACACCCTCAGTCTTCCGTCGGAGCCTGCCCCAGCCCACTCACGAGACACACACAGCGACGCCCCGCCCGCACCTCGCCGGCGAGGCAGAGCGGCAGAAAGAAGGCGAAGTTGAGAGGGATGACAGCGATGAGGAAGCCGTCGAACTGGCCGTTGAGCATCTCGTACGCGGCGAAGAGCGGGATGAACAGCGTGCTCTGCAGGATGTGCGACAGGATGCCGTGGAAGAGGCCGTTGAGCATGGCGAAGCCGTGGTTGAGCTCGGACGACAACAGCGTCGCGTCGCGGACCTGCACGAGCCGCGCGCAAGCGTTTGAGAGAGGTGCCGTCGAAGGGAATCGGAAGGGACAAGACTCAAAGTTGCCGTAATCACCTGCTGAAAGGTGTGCGCCCTCTCCAGCAGTTTGGCGATGGCGTGCTCCAGCGCCGAGCACTGCCTGAACAGGCTGGTGATGAGCGGGAACAGGGAGAAGTACGCGGCGGGCAGGAACACGGTGCTGAGGCAGTGCAGCACGAGCAGCGACCACCACTGGGCGGGCGTGTCCGGCGGCGGCCACGTCGGGTTGGCGGGCTTGCCCGTGAGCGCGACGGGCAGCCCGATCGAGATCATGACGAAGCAGGACCAAATCTCGCCGCCGCGGATGAACCTGGACGAGCTGGTCGCCGTGCGCCGCAGCATCGCCTGCGAGGGGAACAGAAAAACGCTGTATCGCCTGCCTGCAAGCCCGCGCGCGCCCACGCAGCCTCGGGGACGCTCGCCACCGACCTGGGTGTCTGGGTCGGGCTGGCCGCCAAGCTCACCGCCCTCGACCTGCACGGCGACCCAGCTGAGCTGGCGCAACATGGCCAGCGTCTCCTCCTGCTTGAACGCGTTAAAGTACACGGCCGTGGTGCACGCGTACATCCCGAACAGGAAGCGGATGCCCGGCCCCGCGTCGAGCAGCGACGTGCGCGTCATGATGGTGTCCAGCCCGGACAGCGTCATCACCAGCAGCCCCGTGAACGGCGCCCACTGCAAGAGAGTGAGGGGAGAAGAGAGAGACATACAGAAGCACAACAACAACCCTGCCGCTGCCGCTGCCTCGACCGCTGCACGTCTTGGGTCGTACATCGTTGCTGTACCTTAACTCCAGTGCCTCTGCAGGACAACCAGAACCGCTCCCGCAGTGTCTTGGGGGCTGACTTGTCGTGCTGCCTCAGCCAGTACGCAAAAAAATCGCTCACGCTCTCGACTCCCATGCTGATATGGAACGGAAAAGTGGATGCATTCCCCAACAAAGAAGAGCAAAGAATAAAACTCAAGTTGAAAAATACGACAAAGAGAAACCTAAAGGGTCATAACAACGGCAGTTTCAACTGAACCACAACCACTCGTACCACTGTAGCAGAGCTGCTGAGCAGAGTTATAAAAGACAAGAAAATGAAAATGCGGAAGAGAACCGACATGAAGGTACACGTGCCACTTTTTGGAAATAAGGTTAGTGAGGGATGCTGGTTTGAGCGAAACTGCCTACAAAGGCTTTTGTCTTTGATGGGTGGTCGCGGAGAGCGAGCGCCTCGGTGGGTAGGCCGTCCCGTCGAGCAGCCGTGCGGCGAGGCTCCCGCGTTGCCTACCCGCCGCCCCACGGGCGCCTTGCCCGCTCGCCCGCTCCTTCACCTGCTTCAGGCCTCTGCGGCTGCCGCTGGCCCTGGGGTGCAGAGGAGAGGCTTTTATTGTGCTTCCTCGCGGGCGGGCCGCAGCAGATTGTCGGCCAGGGCGCGGCCGGCGGCGCAGGCGGCCAGGACGGGGAGGTCCTGGCGTGAAGGGAGAGAGAGAGGGTGACGCGCGGAGCCCGAGCGGGGCCGTCAATCATTCAGGGGCGCGTCTGGTTCCGGCCCGCCGCCGTACATAATGCAGGGCGAGTGCAGGGGCTGTTGGCGCGGTGCGTGCGCGCGGGGTGTGCAGGGCGGGGCGGGGCGGGGCGGGGGAAGCGAGAGCGGCCGCAGCCCACAGCCACGCCGTCCCGCAGCGGGGGAGGATATGTCGACCGGAGTCGGACCCTCGACAGGATGGTCTCCATCGAGACGGTGAACGCAAAATGTGTGTAGCCGGTGTAACCCGGCCCGGCCGTCTCCGTGCCGTGCCGGCCGGGAGTGGTCCCTTCTCCCCCGCACCCCCACACAGATAAGGCGGTCACGACGTGTGTACGCAGACGGGCCGGCGGGCAACATACTGGGCCCGGCGCGGCCGGCACTGCCGTTCAAAGCCGCGGCATGGCCACGAGCCCTCCGCGGTGGCCTCGCCCGCGCCCGCGCCGCCTAGTGAGCATGCTCTGCGTCAGGGTGAGTGGACCAGTGGACCAGCCCCACCCCGCCACCCGCCCCGGGGCCTCCGCCGCAGCAGTTTGTGACGTGTGAGTTGTCGTCGTTGTTGCGGTTATGTTGCAGCGCAAGTGGCTGGACAGGCTGGGGCGGTGGTTCGTCCCGGTCAACCTGCGCCGGCTGCTGCAGGCACAGGGCGCGCTGGACGCGGTGAGTTTGGCGCGACGAGCGCGGTAGTGAGGGCGCGATGGCGACGGGCTGCTCCAACGACCCCCTTTGCCCGCACAGGTTGTCGCCTTCGCGCTCACCGTCTTCTTCCTCTGCGAGCTGGCGCGCCCCGGGACGTTCACGTCCAGGGACACCCTCCGGCACATGTCCAAGCAGGAGCTGCGGCGTGAGTAGAGTGGGCTCTGGCTGTTGGTCTGAGCTCAGGGATCCTCCGCCACGACCAACGACCACCCCTCGACCCCGCCGGTTCTCTCGGTTTCCAGGTTACCTCGCGTTCTACCTGTGGTACGCCTTCATGTACCTGGCCCAGATGACCGTATCCTTGCTCCTCTTCATAGACGTCCGGAATGTGAGTGTAGATTTTCGCAGCTGGTTCGCGCGCCCCCGCTGCAGGGGCCCGGCGCTCGCGCTTATCGTCCCGTCACGAATTGAACGCTTCTAGGTCAAGTACAACGTGGACGGCAGGAGACGAACCGTCCTTGCATTTCTCGTGTTTTCGCCGACACTGTTCATCAACCTGGTCCTCTCCGCCGCCAATGTGATGTACTTCCCCTGGGCGCCACTGGGCCTCTTTTACACACTACGTAAGTATGCACCCGGTATGCACACAGCACACAGATGGGATGGTGCAGGCATCCTGTTTCAGTGTGAGTCTTTTTGTCTGTTTATCTTATTAGCGAATTAGATTATGTCACTTTATTTGGTTTGAGGTTTTACACAAATTTATTAATGAATGTAAAAGTGAAGACTTGACTCTTTGGCAGTTACCCTGATTTTTTCCTGCGCTCACTCATTGTTTAACACCGTTGTCTATCACCCCCTACAGACACCCTACTGGTCGCCCCTTATTGGCTATACGCCTTTCGGTACTACCACTGGCTCGGCGACGGCGAGCTTGTCCTCTTTGAAGCACCCCTAGTGGGATTCGAGACGACCTCTAGGAGGGAAGACCGTGGGGTATCAGAGCCCATGACCGACGTGCTTAAAGAGTTTGTCATGGCAGACGGTTGGGCAGAGACCTCGAGAGCTCTAGATCCATCGGAAAGGCCACAGCTGGGTGACGCGTTGTCCTCAGAGGTTTCTGTAGCTCGGTTGGTGCCCATTGACGCAGAAGAGTACCCACTTGCAACGGTTGCAACTGTGCACCGGGTCTCGTAATCGGTTATAGCTAAGGCTCAGAAAGTCCACGAGGCTTTCGGAATCTACGCAAACTCGTAAATAATATCGAGTTTTTCACCAACGATACCTGTATTTATTTTAGTGTTTAAGAGGTGCGATTACATTATTCTCAGCGAAATTATACAATGTCAGATTTCAAAGTAGTGTTTGTGAGATTGGGTACCTTCCTGTTTTATTCCAACCAACCCCTATAATAAAACCAGACCCACCAATTTTGCCCAAATTTGCGAACACATCTGATTATCAAAAGTTGGAAAATAGGCCGAAGTGCAGGAAGCAACAGACATCTTTATTGGTTTAGCTGAGATACATTGTTCTTTGTCCTCCCTGGAGCTAGTTAAGGTAAGATGGCAAATGTGATAAGAAAAAGAGAAAGGTATTTAAAGGTATTTAAATCAATTTATTAGGTATGATACATAAGGCTGGTATGTACAAAAGTGCCTCACGGCTTCCTAGTCAATAAAGCACACCACATTCAGCATGTATCTTGAATAAAATTAAATAAAGCCAAACAAAAACATTTGTAAGCAATAATAAGCACATTTGCATACAGAACATACTGGTGATACTATAAAAAGGCCTTATGCCTCACTGGTTGCAAATAAATAAATTCAGTCATCTCTCACATAAAAACATAATAAAAAGCTTGTAGCAATATGAAACATTGGAACTTAAAAATACTCTCGTAATTCTGCAAATCTGACTCCCCCACACCTATTACAATTTCCAACTCATAATTCTTGCCCAAACCTAAGTAGAGAAAGGGTGCTGTGCGGCAGTGCTCAAATGGAAAGGCAAGGCAGGATGAAACGCAGTAAGTACTGGCTGTTTTCCTCTAGCGGGTTATAGCTGGCCCGCAGCTTTGGATACCAAGAAATTAGAGGAAAACGGGGACGTAATCAGACATATCACATAAAAGAATGTGCTCACACAATAGTAGCATAAGACAAAATTTATCGTTTATCTGCTAGTGAAAGTTCTCTACTGCTATTCATTATACTAATTGCGCTGTTTTACAAGTTTCTCAACTTTGTTACCATTAAACTAGGTACTCAGCAACAGGCATGTCATTTTTAGGCCTAAATAATTGAGTTGTTAAATCACTATTATTATTTTTTTCTAAACTTGCAAGTCATTTATAACTTTTTTAAATTCTTGCTTTTAAACACAAGTGGAGTTTTGCCCTACAATAGTCAATAGTTTTTTGTAAGATAACAAAAAAACAACAAGGACAAAGAATATTTACATAAAAAGATTCGGGCACCAGTCCTTAAAACAAGAAAAAGCTGATAATTTTAACGCAGGTTGTCTACCCTGAAAACACCTTATTAAAACATCAAAACTTTGGGTATACATATGACAAAGGTATAAAAATGTAAAAGATAGAAAATAATTCAAAGTCATAAGATTTGGATATCTAATTTGGATGAAAATGAAGAAAAGGCTTGCCGGCCTCTACTTATGAACCAGTTGATTAGAAGAAGAATAAATACTGACAGACATTGTGTATTTTACAATATTTGCAAGAGTGCGAAGAGTTCATTGGCTTCTTGCATACATTTTAAACAATCATTGGTTTTGCCATCTCCCTAAAAGAGGGCAGGAGCTTACACAAGAACCTTTAAAAGAGTGATAGCCCTTACATGCCTAATCTACTGGATTACAAAAAGTGTATTGCTCCAGAATACATGACATGGCTGTAGTTAATACCATGCTGTCAGTCTTCAGTAAATTAAACAAGGACAATACGCCACTTCTGAGAAACATATCACACATGGCAGACGGAAGTATATTTCTTCATTGTCATAAATTAAGTGTATGCAAGGTGTTAAAACACCCAAAGACAAATTTCATTGACTGGTAGGTCCTGATACAAACCCAATAGTAAACAATCAAAAATATCCCCAGAGTCTAATTAAAACAAAATGAAGCACAATAGACCCAAAATTTATGCTTCTTTTAACCATATTCCATATTTATAAAAAAGACAAGTTGTTTGGCAACAGATTTAACAAAAACAAAACAAAAAAAGATTTCATCTTGACTAGTTCTACAAGGACATACTTTCCATTGCACAAAAGGAGAGTGATCATATTCTCCACAGTTAATATACTTAAAAAAAGAAGCACATGATTTGTAAGTACTCACAACAAGAGTAACGGTCCAGTATCTGAAAACATTAAGGCTAAATCGTAATAATCAACTTATCTTATTCTGGGATAGATTAATTTCAAGCAAAAGTATTCCAAGCTGGAAACGGCACTGCACAAATGGAATGATAATGCATTGCCACTCAATTAAAGTTGAACCTAATACTCCCACTTTGTGGCATTTTCATAATTGCTGTCTCCAAGTCGGAACATTCCATTCTTGGAAGCCACAAGGTACTCCCCAGTCACACTCTTAATGCAGATTCGTGTTGGCTCTCGTAGTTCCAGGAAGAAGCCCTCTTGGTTGTCAGAGTCAGCGGATACACCTTCCCCATCAACATGCCAGTATTTACCATTTTGTCCTGTAAAAAATAATGGACGAATGAAAATAATAATCAGTGGCTGACATCTTATCAAAAAGAAATATATTTGCTACCCTGCAATAATAACTTACCCTTGAAATATACAACACCCTTCTCGCTACGTTCAACCTGGATTGTCTCATACGATGCCTTGTTGCACTCCAGTTTAGGGGTCTGAGGGCTCTTGTAACCAACAAATCCTTGTTCACACTTCAGGACGAGGATAGGTCTAAACAGAAAATATAATCCGATAAATACAACACACACCACATCAATTTCAAAATAATTGCGTAAAAAATATAGACAAATTTAAGAATAAATAAATTTATATAGTACCTGTTGATAAGGTAGAAAAAGTATTTTGAAGGTTCCTCCACAGAGTCGGCATTGGCGTACAAGTGTCCTGAACGCTTGGTTGCCACAAATTTGCCGTTATTGGCCCTGAATCCAACTGATCCATCTCCTTGCCAGACGAGGTCGAACAGCGCATTGGAGGACCTGAAATATACAAATGCCTCGGTTAGACGGTAGCCAAAAGTAAACCAACAAAAAATAAATTAATTAAAAATTAACTGTGTTGCTCTTTATTTCTTAAACCATATATATCGTACGACTGCAAATCATACAATAGAGATGGTTTGAACTACCCGCGCACCGCAGGAGTAGAGCCGCCATCGCGGAGTAGTGCCGCGAGGTGGAGTAGCGCCGTCGAGCGAGTACTCACTTCTTGTCGCCGGCTGCCTGGATGCCACCGCCGCTCTCCAGGGTCCAGTAGCGGTCCTGCATGGTGCGGATGTACCAGCGCTTGGTGGACTGGTCGAACTCCAGCTGGAAGGTCTCGTGGTTCGAGATGTCATCCTGGTTGGCGGTCACGTCCACACCTGGATGGGCCAGAGTCACAGTCACGTCAAAAACAAGTCGAAGCAAGTGCGACCCGCGCAGCCCGCGGAGAGCGTGGGCGAGGACCCACAACGTGAAGTTGGAACATAAAATTTAACAACCGTCTGAAAATGACAAACATGTCAATAATTGGCACATTTTAAAACTGCCCAATTGTATCATAAATTGTAGGGTGAGTATAATATGAAATTAAGTTTTCGGCGTCAAGGAAGCCGTTGATTTTTACAATAATGACTGTCGGCCTTTCTTTTTTTGACAGCGCCTTCCCTCCTTATCGACTCGAACCCTGACTCAGACACGCAGCGTCTGGAGCGGCAGGCCGGCCGATAACGCGCCGAGCTCTGTAGCTCTGTACTGCAAGAGGGGCCGCGCCGGGCCGGGTCGGGCCGCGGGGGAAGTCCACAACGGACACAGCTTCAGGACGGCGACGTCACGACCATCGGAGTTTATTCTATACCCTCCTCTCTTTATTCAGCTGCCGTTAATTTTTTAGACCAGTTTAGAAGTCACACCGCGTGGCGGCGGCAGCGCCACGCCACGCCCCGCCGCCGGCAGAGCGCTCTCGCTCACACGCACCGCACCGGGGCCGCTCTGCTGGAAATGTAACGCTACACACGAGGAGAGCAGCAAACCGGTAACCGGGGCGGGG